ATTTGTAGAGCTGTTTTTGAATTTCAAAATAAAGAACGTCAATAGATTTTTAGTCTGGTATATTCAAGTGCTAATTCTGGCCAATACTACTACATGTAGTATGTAAAATTGATGATATGCAAAGTTTTTTTTTAATAAATAAATTCCAAGTTCGAGTATTTATATATTGTTTTCTAATTTTTATCATTGATTGAAACTTCAAATTATAAAAGATTTTAATCTGGAATCGAACTCTGTTGTACATGAAACAAGAGGCTAATGGGGAACAACACTTGCCTGAGTCACTTTCGCAGAATTTATTCCAAATATGCATGCATTCTTTTTAAAGATTTAAAATTTTATTTACATTTTGTTTCCTTGCACTATACATAGGGGTTGTCCCTAACAGAAATTTAATATAGTTACCAATAGTTCGCACCCGCATCCTCCAATTACCTTGTTAAAGACCATCCTCACTTCTATATCAAAAGTGTTTTCTAGTTTGGATCTCTTATACAGCATCATTTCTGCCCGAGGATTACGTATCTCTTCTTCCTGTAAACCTATTTTGTTCTGTAGCCCCTTTATTTCTCCTTATATTTCATTCTTATACATGTATGTGTTCCTCTTTCAGTTTTTCCATACTCTGACACTTCTCCGACATACCAAGTTTGAGCTGGTTTTCAGCTGACGCCAAAGACATTATATTGTTACCTGATTCTCGATTATATATCCAACGCTGCTCTTCTTTGATGCAAAATGGTCTTACAGCAGTTTGTAGAACTTTGGTACTGGTGTTACGTGTGATGAAGATTGTAACTGTGATGATTGCTCCTTTTGATAAAATTGTCTGTCCTGTGAGCTCTCAGAACTAGTGCCACATCTAAATGATGACTTCTTCAGGTATTTTAACATGCATTCTCTGTAAGCACCAAAAAATTTACTATAGGGCTTGGAAACGACATCTCTCCGATTTTGATGAAATTTGTAACACAGGTGCGTCTTGGTACAAAACTAGGAAATATGGTGTTAGAAATTTCACACGTGCACCCGGTTGCGAAGGAGACGGATCCAATCAGGGAGGTACATGTAATGATTGGTCTTTTGTATGAAACAATGTAAACAAGGTCCTGTGTCGCTGTCGGTGCTAGCACAAAACAAATCCCTCATTGCTCAATACCCATAAGTGTTTAGTGCAGACCTAAATTCTTAGCCATCCCTTGGCAATTGGTGGCATTCCAATATGAAAAAAAAATATTCTCGAAGGGAGAAAAGGAAGCAAGTAAACACACTCAATGCACGAATGAAAGTATACTTCATCGGCCATCGGTTCTTAAAAATTCTTTTCTATTACATTTTACTAAAAATAGTATTGAGATCGCACTCCATTTTTTTTTTATGAGATGATACAGAAGTATGAAAACACACATAAGATTTGGGAAATTTCCGTAGACAATTTTTTTTTTATTTAACCTACAAGTTCTTAAAAAAATACCAAATTTCTATAAATAGACAGATATTTCAGAAAAATCTAAGAAGCCAAATTTGGGCAGAGTTTAAGATGCCATTGCTAGGTATTTAGGAAATATACTGTAAAAGTCACTATGCTAATGACAGAAACTGGACACCAATAACAACTGTGCATATTATTTGAAGGGAGTTCCGTTTTCTATTAATAGCTTCAAATGCCTAAAAATAGACATGTCTCGTAATATGTGGAAAAATGACTATTTTCTATCATTTTGAAGCTCCACTAAAACATAAGTGATAAACATGCTGCTCTCACTAATATTTCCTTAATTAGAACAAGGGATAATACAATAATTCACACAATATTGAGGATAAGATCTCATTTCTATAAATAGTACAAATGTCTAAAATTAGACACATAGGAAATTAACGTAAGAGTTTTCTTTATTTAATATTTCGTTTTTTATTTAATAATTTCGTTTTTTTTAAATTCAATAATTTCGTTTTTTATTTAATAATTTCGTTTTCTTTATATAATAATTTCGTTTTTTTATTTTTTATTTTTTTGGTTTGCACTATTGTGCTTCCGTAGGAAATGGTATCGCTCTGAAAAATCAAATGTAAATCACATATTTCAATTTACACATTTTCGAAGAGAAAAAGTAATGTATTTTTCTAAGAGAAAAACTTTGATGAATAGGGTTTGCCCATACCACATCGAAATCAATAAATATAAGAATTTATCACAGAGTAACATGGTTGTTATCTTTTTTAAATATTGAAACGTTATAAACTATTTAATTATAAGCAATATGGAAATAAATCAAAAACATATATATATATATATATATATATATATATATATATATATATATATATATATATATATATATATATATATATATATATATATATATATATATATATATATACATATATATATATATACATATATATATATATATATATATATATATATATATATATATATATATATATATATATATATATATATATATATATATATATATATATACTTATTGTACTTCGGTTGCTTTGTTTTCATTTCCATCAAGGATAAAAGAAGGAAATATGCAAACTGTATTGATAAATTACTAGCACAATCACAATTTAGGGTGGTGGTGGTATTTAAAGGCCTATATTTGAAACGAATGGTAAATTATGTTCTGAAAAATCCACTGCAATGTAATTGTCAGTGATTAAAGCAAAAGAATTAACAGTTTAGTGAAACATGAATACAGAATGTCTCACTTTTACTTCACGTATTTGAACAATACCATTTTCATTCCCCAACATGTAAGCAAGTCTATTATTGGTACCTGTTGTGTATTTACATTTTGTACTTCAATTTCCTTGTCCTGACGCTCTGTTTAGATAAAAGAGGTGATTATGCACATTTAACTCAGGCATTTATTAACACAACTTACTTATAGTCTTTTGATACATAAATATTTCCATTTCTATTTGTTTTCTCTGTGATAACTCTTTGAAAGTTAGGAGAGTTGATTTCTTGATCATTATAAAGGAATGCAAATTTCGCCAAGCGAAAGGTCTGGAGCTAAGAAGACCTAATATGCATGTAATTCTCGTGCGGATATCTTCGTGTTTGACGTCAGTGGGCGGGGACTATTGAAATTGACATGTGAGGCCTCGTGTAATTTAAATCTATTAGTCTACAATTTTAAATTTACAATTTTATTTCACAATGAAATGGAAATATAAGGAATCACTGTCAAGTTAGTAGAGTATGCCAGGGACATCAACGATAGTTGGAAACGTGGGATAATTTATGCATAACGGGCGAAGCCCGTTATGCAAATTATCCCACGTTTCCAACTATCGTTGATGCCCTGGCATACTCTACTAACTAGACAGTGATTCCTTAAATATATTTACTACTTATAGTGTTACCAATTTCCATGACCATTCGCATCATAGCTTATTTTACATTCATGTAATGATTTCTTTTAAACACTGGGTTCCATGCCATGACGCTCTAGATATTTCCATCAATACTAAGATTGGGGCTGACAAAAACGATTTATGGATTTTACTTTTTAATCAGTTATCACAACTTATGTATTCTTAATCACTTAAACTAAGATTTGATTGAGTAATTCATTAATGACGTTTTATCAAATATTAAAAGACTGCTTGGTATCTGTTTCATTATAATTTGAAAATGACTCCACCAACCGTGTCCACCACCGTACTTTTTTTTTTTTTTTTTTTTTTTTTTTTTTTTTTTGCTATTTCACAATTGTTTATCAAAAACTAAAGTAGACTTTTAATTGAATGTACGATATACACTGTGCGAGTGATATCTTAATATAGTTGACAGGCATCGTCTTAGGCCAGTGCAGAGGAACTATGAATTTTTGTGCCGATATTCGGAGTTTATATGTAATATTAATTAATAAATAAGTATAAATTATGACAAAAAGAACGCCGGCTAAACATTTCTTTGTCCAACGAATATAATTCATATCAGAATTATGAACAATTTTGAATTGGGGTCAAAGTTCAAGGTCACGAAGTCATATATCCTCGTATTAAACAAAAGGCTTTGTGCAAAGCAATGTATGAGCAAAACATCAAATCCCTACATTTTATAGTTTTCAGGTTGTGAGGTTTACAGACATGCCGACGGACAGACATACAGACAGACGTCAGGCAAGCTTATCCTCGTGTATTGTTCTGCTCTGCTATCAACACTTTATCAGGAAGCATTCAAAAAAGTTAAGAATTTTCTGGCGCATTAATTCTCATATTTACGAAGTCTCTCTCTTGAAGGGGGTGTGCTCTTTTTTCAACAAACTTTAATCCATTTTACCCAAAGGTGCTTTGTAACAAGTTTGGTTTTAATTGACCCAACCCTAACAAAAATTAATATAGTTTACTATAGTAAATACTTTGATACTTTGATTTACTATGAAACTTTACTGTAGAACTTTTATGAGATTTTAATGTTTAAATTTCTTGAATTCAATGCCAATAATATAAAATGTGTAAATAATATGTAAATATTCAAGTGATATTTCCATTTAATATAACAAATATGCATGTATGAACTATAGAACATAAAATATAACAATCTTAAAGCCATAGTAAAAATACTTTGATTCTCTATAGTTAAAAACTTTAATTTACTAAAATAAAAACTTTGATACTATAGTTAACCATAGTTAACTATAGTAGACTATAGTTTACTATAGTATATTTTTTGTTAGGGAATGGTTCAGGAGGTCAAAATGTAAAAAGTTTACAGACGCTTTCGCTTGTTTTGTCTTGTTTTATTGTTCTTGTCAATGTTTCGTATTTTGTTATTCTTTAGTCAGTAATATTTCTTTTGAAAGTATCCTAGTAAAAAATATTCCTGAATCTGCCATTGCATAGATTGTTTATTATAAATGTGGCAACTTCACATTTACTTCAAACTTGACTGAATCATCAAAGTTAACAAAAAAAATAACTTCTTGTGTTGTAAGCTTAAAAGTTAAAAAAGCTAAAAGCACAAAAAAAAACCTCAGTTGAGTCGAATTTAAACAGAAGAATGACATCAACATTTTGTCACCTATGAACTCTGATAACGTCATTGAACAACTGGTTTTGATCGACAACAGAAACAACAAGGACACACCCGTTTTTTGTCTGCAGGTGGCACCTGCATCCTCGTGAACCCAAGAAAAACCTGCTCCAAGGACGTCTGATGTACTGAATAATCTTCTACATTATATTCAGATTTTGTTTTCTCCATTTCTTTGAAAAGTTTTGCCAACGATAAACTTTGATGCGGAATTTGGATATCAAGATAGCCCTGCTGATCATCAAAAACTTCGGTTCCTGGGAATTCTTTACCTATATGATTACATAATGAATGAGAATCAACTGCGTTTCCGTTATTGTCACGTGCTAGTCTCACTGTCAAGGTATAGCCCTGTGCAAATTTGTTCTTTAAGTGTTGAGGACTCCCAAAGCAGACAAATCTTCCATTTACCATGATGACTATCTTAGTACAAAGGGCATCACACTCCTCCATACTAAAGGCAAGTGAAAAATGTTCATGAAACGCTGACAGATCTTTCAAAATATACTTAACCATAACATTATAATTATTAGAGAGAATAATGGTTTTTTTCATGAACAAGCCTCTGATAATCTTTTTCCTTTTTTTATGTAAATATGATAGGCAAAAACAAGTTCAGTCAGACTTTTAATATGTCTTATTCAACTTCATTTCTTTCTGAAAATGGTAATGTGTAATATTCTTATCTGTAGGAAAGGAGCAGCGTGTTAGAAATAAATTCATACCATTTTAAAATGATTAATGCATCATAACGAAACCATTCTTCACCATGTTTTATATATAAAATTATACTTATTACACGTACTTATTAACAATAAAATTCATTTTTTTATTATTTCCTATTGCTACTAAGTAATAATTGAAATGGTGAAATTCTGACAACTAAGTGTGTGTTAGGTCAAGTACAGAAAGATTTATCATAAACTTTTCGACATAATGATCAATATCGTTTGATATGTACAGAAGTTTTCCAAAGGTAGTCAATGTTGAAAACAAGGGGCCTGTATGTATAATGAAAATTAAAAACCACCTGTGAGAGGTTAAGACAAGCGTTCTTCCACTTGTCCGGACCTTAGAAAGTACGTTCCACATTTGTCTCCTTGCCGCCGGATCCACGCCTGTTGTTGGTTCATCCAACATTAAGAATGGGGGATCTCCAATCAGTGCAATGGCCGTGCTCAATTTTCTTTTGTTTCCACCACTTAAGGAAAATGACAAATTGATCGCAAATTAATATATCTTTATTATATTTTCTAAATAAAGCAGGAAAAAATAAATGAAATATAATTCTATTGTGGAAAAATGGTACACAGAAATGAAAACTTTTCGAATGTACACGTAGTAAATGTAGATATTTTAGTTTCAAATCTTTTCTGTTAAACAGATAAAATTTATATCAAATCAAAGAGTTACTCCTACCGCAAAAAATTCAAATAACACGTAGGAAGAACACAGACATAAAGTGTATGTACCTGTAAGCACCGCACAGTTTGTCGGCATATTTTGTGAGGGTGACTGCGTCCAGTAGATCATTAATGACCCGCTTGATTTCCCTATCCTTTATCCCCCTCATTCTCGCGTAAAGTGTCAAAATCTCCCTTCCTGTTAAAGTGTCAATCAATGCGTCAAACTGGGGGCAGTATCCAAGACATCGATGGACCTGTGGTATAGAAGATTTTACAAGTTAATCATCAACAAAAAATGATGGACCTGGAGCGTTAAAGAACTTTTTTTTGTTAAATTATTCGTAACTTATCCAGGCCAGGTTTCATATTCTGACATTTATACACAAAACATAAGAACTGGAATCGTATAGGAAAGGGTTTGATTTCCCGTTTCCGTTAAAATTCCGTTAAAATTGTTACTATATAAAATAACCTTACAGCTTTAAAATATAGCAATTCAAATGCGTACCTGTTGCAACTGACTATCAACACTAAAACTGTTGATAAAGGCGTTTCCACTAGAACTCATCACATCACCAGTCAACATCTTAAATGTTGTCGTTTTCCCTGCACCATTTTGACCTAACAGTCCAAAGCACTCTTGCTCAGTTATTCCTACACTTATTCCCTTTACTGCATGAAACGGATCGACGACGCCATATGTTTTCTTAAGGTTTTTAATAATAAGTTTGTCGGTTTTCATAAGGTCGTCCAATTGAGCCAGGTGTACTCTCATTGCTTCTTCTAATACGTCCGAATCCGGATTAATGCTGGAATCATTATCCGAGTCTGCAGTTCCACTGCTTGTACTACACAGAGTTCGGTTGACAAAACGATGTATTACTCCGCTGTCCAAGAGATGCACGAAAATCATAAAAACAACCCACTGTATTGACATCATACACAGGTAACGACCACACCCTGGATAATCCCACTCCAGATAGTTGTCGGTGGGGCACTGCTCTTTTAAATTAAAATTTAGTAAAAGGTTATTTGATAATTCAGCACAAAAAATTAAAATGAAAATAACGATTAAGTATATATCGAATTATAAAATTCATTAATACTAATAATGACACTTTACAACGATAAAGGAACGAGATAATTTTTACATCATAATTTATTTTTATTTTTAGATTTTTAAATTTATTTCATAAATTTAGATGTGGAAATAATACCGGGGTATCACTTTGATTTATGTATACCTTTAGTCAAGAACATTTGTGTAACATTCGGACCTAAAGATTTACGGCATTGAAATCGAAGAGCATATCGCACATAGATGTTCGTAAATGTTTTTCCCAAACAGAAATGAGGCAAAACTATCATAAAGACTTTATCCATTGTTTCAGAAGCACTTCTGGTATCTGGACTTGGATACAAGAAGGTGACCATTAATAAGGTAAATAAACCTGAAAGTACAAGAGGCGCATTACTTTCAACACGCGAGTCAATGACGTTCACATAAAAACATCAAAATACACCAATGTACATGTATTTTATATATGAGACATATCTTAAGATTGCAGTCTTTGAAAAAATATCCCCAGTAAAAATTATACAAGTGTTAAAGAATATTCATATCCTAATTTAGTGACACAAAGAAATCAGTAATTATATGAATGTGCTTTGGTATACTTTAGAAGGACTGTGAATGGCATTATATATACTTTGTTTAGTGTTAACCTGTCTTATCAAGAAAAAAATTATATCTTTAATATAAATACTGAGGAGTAACTCACCTGCGACAGTGTTAATTATTATCATAGCTACCGTTCCACCTGCAGGTGATCGGAAGATGAAATGTAAAAGATATGTCCATGTAATGGATGCTAAACCAAACAGAAACAAACTCAGAAACACAATTCCCAGTCTATTCTCTTCTGTGTATGGCGGAATTTGGAATCCAGCAAAGCAAATTAGGATAAGAAAAATTGGGATCAGGTAATGGATGAAATCCCAGGTAAGATTGGCCAACCAGAAGACCGTAGAGCCTACTCCGCTGACCTTTTGTAAGTGTTTGGCTCCAGAAGACTTTTCCCTGATGTGAAAGACGCTGAAAGACGCCACTAAACAAGACAGTCCGAATAAAACACACAAAGCAATGGTAAGACCTTTAAAAGCTGCCAATCCAGACCCCTGATCTGAATAATATCTATCCTCTATCGGTGGAAATGGGTGATTTATAGTTTGTATACTTCTTGAATTGCCAAAGTAAAATTTAAAAAGGAAATCCATCGTGTAAGACAAACTAATTCCAATAGCATGACTATCTTCCCCGTTATAATAACTGATAATATCATCTCCGCTGAATCCAAATCCAATGACATATCGTGAATTAAAAGGTCTTTGTCCAATCTGGTGATCAATGTCCAGCCAAAACTTGTTAATGTTAAACTCTGAGGACGGGTTCGCTTTATACTCAACTACCTGCAAACCTCTTTGTCTGAAATACTTTTCATACTCTTTCGTCATATTTTCTGAAATATATGTCGAGTTAGGTCCTCGAGTTACAGTGGTTATGGCGCTTGGAAAATATTCTAAATCTAATTTAAGAGGAGGCTGTGGACGCTGTATTAGATTGTTTAGAAAATGGTCAGCCATGAGTCCGAATATCGCTAGTAAAATAGGAACAGCAAGTTGAATTATCATCATAAATCGGCTTCGCCATGTATGCAAAGCTTTCTTCATCATTAGTCCTCGGAATTGTTGAAAAATGGCTGATATTCCAGTGTTCTTTTTAAATCCCATGTTAAAATCTAAACAAAATATAACATGCACATTAAAAGTCTAAATAAAGGAAAATCCTAAAATTAACCAAAACTACAGTCTGACTCAACTTAAGATTCATTACTTTCGAATGTTACTCTAAAAAGTGCACCTGAAATTAAAAAAGGGAGTGTCACCATTCTTCAAATCTCTGTATTCAAAACAAGTATCTTGATTCCCCTTTGATGTATACAACTTTACAATACTATGAATGTATCTATTGCATATTTTAATGTTTTAAGGTATTCGAGTAAAACCTTTTTTTATAAAGTAAAATTTTCCAAATATCTAAAGTTACTGGTATTTTCTTATATCCAAGTTGAAACAAAAATTTAATCTGGAAATTTTGTTTTCATTTTCTGTACTTAGAGATATAATGTTATGGTAAGAAAATTCAATAATCTGCCAATGATAAGTATTTTTCAAACAGAGGTAAATACTACTTCACAGTCTATAACAGGTCGGGTACACTACCTTTTATCAGGTCGAGACCACTAGATTTTCTGACGTCAGCATAAATTTGCATGTAAATTAGCTATCTATTTACTTTACCGATTGTTGAATGAGTCGCAGTGCATTATGGGCTACTACAAGTATCAATACAAACTCAGTTGTGTTGAAAATGAAGGGCAACTTGAATTGTTCCTTGGAAACTCATTTTCAATTCTTTTTTGACATTCATGAAAGAAATATTGAAAATGATGTATAATCTTTCATTTCTATGCTCACATTTATAAAATTTGCTTTGTGAAGCCTTATATTAACTTGTAATACATCGGAGTAAACCATTGTTCAAAGAGATAGGTGCTATTGTGTAGATAAAGCATTGAGTGTGTTTTTTCACGTGATATACATGAACATAGTTTTAGACAGCAGTATAAAGTGCGCAATTATTATTTTACTCCACAATATCATCAAAATGTTTTTATGTTCATGCAAACGTCAAAGCGTTTGTACGGTATTTGAGGCAACTATTAATCATCTAAAACAACTCAAATATCAAATGTGAGCATGGAACAATGTCTTTGGAATAAAATCTTTCAATTTCAGCCTTATAAAGTAAAAAAGAAGCAGTACGGTTTTTTCAGTGACCAAGTAAATATTATGCAGTAAACCAACGAAAACCACATGTCGCTATTGAATCATAAACATGTAGTAGACCGTCATGCTTTGCGACTCATTCAATTGATTGGAGAATGGGTTTGACGAAAACATCGTCACGTGTTGAGAAGTGCCTTCCATAAAAGGTAGTGTACCCGACCTGTTTATGGAAGGCACTTTTCAACACGTGACGATGTTTTCGTCAAACCCATCCTCCAATCAATTGAATGAGTCGCAAAGCATGAGAGTCCACTACGTGGTTACGATTCAATAGCGACATGTGGTTTTCGTCGGTTTAGTGCAAAATATTTACTTGATCACCGGAAAAAACGTAAAACTTCTTTTTTACTTTAAAAGGCTGAAATTGAAAGATTATATTCCAAAGACACTGTTCCATGCTCACATTTAATTTTTGAGTTCTTTTAGATGATTAATAGTTGCTTCAAATACCGTACAAACGCTTTGATGTTTGAGTGTATATTAAATTTTTTTGATGATATGGAGGAGTTAAATAATAATTCCACACCTTGTACTGCTGTCTAAAACTATGTACATGTATATCACGTGAAAAAAAACACACCCAATGCACAATAGCACCTACGTCTCTGTGAAAAATGGATTACAAGTTGATACGAGGGTTGTCCGTAAAGTTTGTGGATAACCTTGATAATAACTGACAAACATTGATAAAATATATGAACCCATTATTTTCTTTAAATTCATGTTTCATTTCATAAATATGCAAGTTTTCATTACAAACAAAGCACAAATAGTGATATTTTTATCAGATACCAAAAAGGACACACTCATACCCAGACTAAAGTGAAAATCCTTGACGTTACCCGACGTCAAAATTAAACACATTGAACTTTTCTAAACGTAGTCACTGTTTAATCAATATATTTCTTATGTCGCTTCAACCTGCTCCATCTTTTCCAAAAACGTCCCTTTTTCGAACAATGACGATCCTGTCTTAACAGATTCTAACCTCGATTTCCCTGCCATTTCAAAACTTTGAATGTTAAAATTTTTATCAACGTCATTATGTGAAAGTCATCCAAATTTCGGAGGAATTTTACAAAATACAAATGAAATGTATAATGTGATAAGTAACTTTTTAATTAAAACGTGCTTCGGGTCACCATCCCAAATCTATAAGGCTTCGTAAAGCAGATTTTGTAAATGTGAGCATAGAAATGAAAGATAATACATCATTTTCAATATTTCTTTCAGAAATATCAAAAAAGAATTAAAAATGAGTTTCCAAGAGACAATTCAAGTTGCCCTTTATTTTCAACACAAGTGAGTTCGTATTGATAATTTAAGTAGCCCATAATGCATTGCGGCTCATTCAACAGTCGGTGAAGTAAACAGATAGCTAATTTACATGCAAAGGATGACTGCACTTATTAATAAGGACATGCGGAATTTGCGACAAAATAAACTTTCAAAACAAGCATTTTTCTTTTAATTGCAAGGATGATCAACATCCAATCTACAATTTTATGTAATTACGTTTAATAAAAGTGTGTATTTACGAAGTTTGAATCTGTTTTCAAAGGCAGGGGTCCTCACAATTTCTTGAATCTCCATTCGATAATGAGGACGCCCACTTTTTTACTGACTTAATACATAGTCAGCGCATGTTTGTCTATTGTTCTACGTTTAACAGTAGTTGTATATTTGCATAAATAATAATGTGTCAAAAGGAGATTAATAGACAAACATGCGCTCATGGTTAAAAAGAGAAAAAACTGCTTCTTCTTACATTCGCTCTCCGTGTTGTAACCAAGGACTGTGACATGTTGAATATTATAACTCACCACGTGATTTCTTACCTCAGGTAACTTTGTGAATACTAAATTTCGTCACGTGACTTGTAAGATAGCATGTTTTGTGCTAACTAGGACACTGTTCGAACACATTAATTCATCTGGCATTGATATAAAATCTGTTTTAATTACATTGACGTGCTCCTATTGTTAATTTCGTTTTGAAACCTTTGTCAGAAGTGTATTTGTGCCATTCAGAATGGAGAGGGAGATTGGGAAGAGTGATCACGTTCGCTTTTCCAAACATGTCATTGTTATTTATCAAGTATAATTTTAGACCCATTCTTACAATGTTAGCTCCACCTCTCATGCATATCTAATGTTCAATCAAGGGCAGGTAAGTGTAAATTCACTATATTTGGAAAGCAGTAAGGACAAAAAACATTGAATCATTTTATTGTATCACAGTCTAAAATCATTTTAAGATTTAAATGTGGTTCCAAATTGACAGTATTCTTTCATAAACATACAAAAGTGAGATAAGGTTTAGATATAAAAGCAACAGAAGCAAACCGAAAAAGACCCAAAAACAGGCGTTAAGTGCAGTCATCCTTTATGCGGACGTCAGAAAATCTAGTGGTCTCGACCTGTAAAATGCACACTGTCTTTTTCAACCTGTGTCGAACTACTTCATTCTTTTATGATTTTTTACCTTTTATGATCTTTTTTTTTTAGATTTAATAAATAGAGGATATTCAATGTTTTGTAGATGAATATGGAATTTATTTCACGAGTGGGACAGGATTTTTTGATATTTTCACGAGTGAAATAAATTCCATATTCATCTACAAAACATTGAATTTTCTGTTTATTACATTTTCTTAGTTTTTCCCTTTGCCTCTGTCTTTTCTTTACTCAGTGTCATAGGCTGTGACGTCATAGTTGAGCGTTTGAGACGTCATAGCTAAGCGATTGCGAGATTGAAAAACGTTGTAAACATGGATTTTTAACGACATATTTGGAAAAAACTTGGCAGTATAACTATAAGTCTCTATCAAGATGGTTCATTAACTCTATCTTATAACAGGCCAGGGATTTTTCTTTTTAAAAATCTCTTCGTGAAGGAAAGGAAAATCGTGAGTTTTGCCGTACTTCTGATATTCTCACTTTGAGAATACCATATTTTGATATCCTTTCTCACTGTGTCAGAATATCACTTTATCACTTGTATTCAGTAAATAATTACAGTATTTCATTGTTGAAAATGTAATAAATACCGCATAGATGTAGAAGATTAGCTTCCAGTTGAAATAATGAGCTGTATTATGCTCAATATAGAAAAAAATAAGTAATATACTTCTGCCAGGTAATGCCCACAATCAACAAGCTGATTATTTTGACAAGCTGATTATTTTGTATATTTTATATTATATAGAATAGTGTTTCTACTAAAATTTAAAATTAAAAAAAACTGATAACATAAAGGAATTTAAAAACAATCAATTTACAAGGAAATGTGAATATATTGAACAGTGAACATGCTCAAAAGTCCTATAAACAATACAAATTTGAGCAGAGCTAAAAGGACCTCTAAAACAGAGGTGGAATCAGATGCCAAGGAGAAAACATCCCCTGTTGACCGATCACTCTCGCCGAGTGCCTCTTGTGCGGATTGGGCAAACGGAAAATGCCGTAAACAGTTCAGTGTGAAAATAATGGTATTTGCAAACAAAGTCATTACTTTGATCATAGACTTTGAGAAATGTTGACTTTAAACAAAAGATTAATATTATTGATATCCTTGTACAATGTATCATCAACTTATTTATCAATAGCTAGCCTCGTTTTAGAAGTTGTTCGTACGTACATGTAGAGTATGCTCTTGCGTATCGAATCAAGTGGGAGACATAAACTCCACATGTAGGTGATAATGGTTTATTGCTACATAAATAAGGGAAGTTGACGATTGAAATGTTGAAGAAATCACGTTCATCATAAAGTTTTGTTAGATAACCATTAACGTTTATTCTAGCAAACTATCTAAATATGAAACAGATGTATCAGACTCTGTGGTATATTTATTCCGAGTTCAAAGGGATATATCGAATTAAAGTAGGAATAAAAATAAATGTATAAATATTGTTCATTGATAATAAGTCGTTGATATATCTAAATGTTGAGTTGAAGACTACAGCAAGGGACTTCTTCTTTTCACGTAGGATTTTAAATAAATTCTGCTTCATTTGAATACAAAAATAGACCTGTTAATAACGGGACGCTATTATTTTGTACCCATGGGAATTCCAACAGATTCCGATAGATATTATCAATCAGAGAGTCAAGCATCAGAGCACTTGTGTGTACAATCAGATTGTTTTTTAACAAAATGATTTTGCAAATGACCAGTGACAAGGTAAGTAAAATTTACGAGTTCCACTTTAATTGTAAAAAAGCAGCTGTCTATGATGTCAAAAATCCTGGACTTTAGTGTATGGTGGGAAATGGTTGTATAAAGTGTTGAAAAGTTGTATATTTTGATGTTATTGATTTCGTTAAAATTTTCTGATTTAAAAGTTTCTAAAGATTAATCGGAGTTTTTAAGTATCCACACTTAATTTACACTACTTCTCGAATATATTGTTGTACAGTTCTTCTGAATTTTCTCCTTCACTGCTGTTAGTATTTTAGTGCAGAGTAAAGAAAGAAGCCTGGTAGAACATTTACTGGAAACTGACATATGATTTTTAAGAAATTCCTCCTTGAAAGGGAACTATGAGTATAAGTTGGATTACCAATTGCAGAATTAAATCCAAATACCTCTAAAATACAATTAAAAGGTCCTCATAATTGATTATATTTACGTCACCAGTAATGACGTGTCTAGCAGGGCTATAGTTGTATGGTGAAGAAGAACATGAACACGTAGAAGGATTATGTTTCAGATGTTCGAAATCTAGGCACTGTAGAGTTTTTTGTAATTAGAAAGTTTGGTTTGTCAGCTGGGACTTGTACATATTGATCATGTACTTTTTGCACTTACTGAAGACAGAAGGAAAGATGGTTTTCATGCTGTCCTTCAACCGTATATAAAACATCCACCTTATAGTTTTAATCCATTCTGACAATGTGTCAAGGAAATACAACAGATGAACATGTATTGCTTTGGGTCACCTGCATTAATTACTCATGTACTATATCAATTGAGCCTCCATACCTAGGACATCGCTAATTTCCGTATTGTGTTGCTGAGAGGACAAACCCTCAGGTGCGTGTAGAAGCTCATGACGATCGTCAGTGACATCGTCTTTATAGGCTGAGTTAACTTCTCCCGTATTTTCCTTTACTCTGAAATGATCAGAATGATAGAAAAATAAATATTTTTATGTTTTCCCCACAAAACAAAAAATAGACAATTTGTCGTAACGATTCATATCTTAAGTAAGCAAGAAGAAAATAGGGAATTACAAAAAGGACAAGCGAACATGGTACATTTAAGGAATAATAGATATTTTCAATAAGTTCTTAATCTGTATTTGGTTTGGTATTTCTGGTGGAAGGATAAGGTAGGATAATGTATGATATTCAGAATAATATTACTGCCATGTGCTTGAAAGCTTTATATACGATTGCTGCAAAACTCAAACATTTTCATAATGTATATATTTATTATTCAAAAAGAAAATAAATTATCTCTAGACAGGAAATGGCTGATGTCATATTTCTTAAAAATTGATAACTAGAATAAATGCCTCTAGACTGGGAGTAATATTCCACGTGAAGGAAATGTGGAAGAAATCAGTACACCGAGAAAGAAACTTTGGTTAAAAAGATATAAAGCGTAAATTTGAAATTCCTTTGCTATATTCAAACAAAACAAAGTAACCATTTCCAACCAATAAGAAATATCTCAGATTTTCCTACTAATATGTTAGAATATGTTCAAAACGCTTCTTTTCTTGTTTAGTTGAATTTCAACCTTTAATTGCTTTTATTTATTTATTCATTTTGAGTGTATGACTTTAACAGAATGAATGAATAAATTATTGCTTTTTAATACATTGTTTCCATAGTAAATCAATATATTTGGTTTCCCACATATGATTATCATGGATGTAGGACATCAGGTCTTAAACTTTTGGAAACAGTCATTCTCACCTTTTTTCAGTTCATTATGAGAATCTGAACATGTCAAAAAGAATGCTATTTTTTAATGCTATTTGTTTTATCTTTATGGCATGTTGCCATACACCAGCCGATTTTTTTGCCTGATATAAGTTTATGGCATCAAAGAGTTTTATCATAGAGAATTTGTAGAGATTCTGGGACAATGCTTGGCACACCTTCTATACAAGAGTTCAATTCATTACAGAGAATGGCTCTTAATACGTTTTTAACGCGAATCATTATGATGTATGCAACACGGTTTATACTATATAAATGATCTTTTTGTTTCCAATCAAAAACACACGTTACAACCAGAGATAAATCGATATATATATATATATATATATATATATATATATATATATATATATATATATATATATATATATATATATATATATATATAGCTGCTTATTTCTACACAGCAGATGAAAAGCCAGATAATAACAATAGCTCACTTCAAAAAAACTTCTTCCATCGTCGTAGCAGAAATCCCAAAGCTACTAATCCCAAGCTTTGGTGCATTTTCCTCTATATCCTTGAACAGGTCTTCAAAGGAGGGTGACCCTTCTGTAGGAAGAAGAAAAGACAACTCCGCCCCAACATTGCTTTCTAAAGAGGCTGACGAAAGATGGCTTTTTATTGTTTCTAATAACTTGGTTACATCGCATCGTGGTTCTTTAACCATTACTAAGTGATATCCGGCTCCTATAATTTAAGATTTATTTCATAAATGATATATAATATGAGGAAAAAGTGCTAAAGCTAAAAAGAGTTAAATACAACACCATCTCCAGAAAAGGACATTGTATGAATTCAATTTAAATTTGCACAAAACAGTTCTATAACAAAAATGTCTAATCAGAATTAAAAGTGTCATATTAATTGCTGCTGAAGCAGTATTTATCTCATATGTTAGCTTGCTGTCCTTTCTAGAAAGAGCCAATATTTGGCACATGCCTTGATATAGTAAAATGTATATAAAGCATGGCAAGATTAAGTTTTTTTCCTAAACATCACATATATCTTGCAGCTAATGCCGCTCTAAAAAAAGATCAAAGATGTGATTAATATTATTCATGTATTTTATAAACTTCATTATCGTTATCGTCATAGAAACTCCTTGGATATATGAAGCTAAATACATGAATTTAAAACAGAAACTTTAAAATGAATAAATAGTGAGTTATTCTGTACCAACGGTTGGTACATAGCAAATGAAAATCTCAAGTCCTTTAGGTCATAACAACTGAAAGTTCCGAAATACCTTACTGAATTTACATTTAACATTTCTCGTGGAGCAAGTGATCTCTCAAAATGATTCAAAAATAATCGTTACTGGTTAACGATATATAAAATCAATTGATCGTCCAATATAAATCACAAAAGCAATTAAAATTGCAGATAAGTAACCATGCATGTATGTTTTCAGTTACAGACGTCAACTTTCATTTTGTGCCTACTGGGAAAACATTGCATAAAATAAAAACTTTGTTAAGAGGAAAGGATGTCTTCCTTGCCATTCAATCAATACCCTGTGTAGAAACGGACTAGGGTAAAGTGCGTTACCCTAGTCCAAGATGGCGATAGGCAAAAACGCTTCAAATTTTCTCATACAAATATTGGGGATTTCTAGATTAAAGTTTTACTTTATTTTGCACCAATCTGTCGGGCAGCTTTAGTTTTACATGCTTGCATGGAGATTGTATTCAACTTTAGCGTAATAAAAAAGAAAATGCGCGTCAAAGTTTTGCTGCAGATTAGGGTAAAGTTTCTGAACTATTCATTTACGATTAGGGTAAAGTTTTTTTTCGAGACTATGGTAAAGTTATTCATTCTACAACCCGATAGTGCACGATTTTGATTTTTTTACTGCATTATACATGAACAATTAATATAGTTGGAAAGGCTTTCTCAAACGTGTTCAAGAACTGTTGCTTCCAAAGATATCATACTGGTTGCTCTTTTTTTTTTTCTTTTTTTTTTTTTTTTGATACAATTTTCATACAAAATACAGTATAAATCATGTAATTAATTTATCAGATTTAACTTTAAGTATTGTTTCCTGTATAAATCTAAATCTACGTTGCATCCTTTAATCCCTGCTTTTAGCGAAATCATCGAAAATGACTCATCAACCTATGTCTAATTTGCATTTGTTGGTACTCGACAATGACGGAATGTTGACCGAGTTATATCCGCATTACGGGCAATTGAAATAAACTTTTATCAACTGAAATGCAAAAATAACAACAGTATTCATGATCAAAGTTTAAACACTACAAATTGTTAACTGAGCAAACAAGGACCTCTGAAAACATCAGACGTGAGATCAGGTGTCATGGGGAGTAGGCGTCATCTTTCGATATAGGTCACCGCTATGTATCGTTCGTTGTAATCATATAAACGAAAAATGTGACAACATAATATATTTGCTAACAAGATCATTGCATTGACCACAGAATTTGCGAAATGTTGGCTTTTAAAAGGAAATTGTCGATACCATTGTGTCATCAACTTATTAGTCAGCAGTCTGCCTCGTTTAGATATTGTTCCTAAGAAAACATGTTCTTGCTCATCGAACCCACTGACAAAATAAACCCTATATGCAGGAAAAAATGGTACATTGCTACATAAATAAGGGAAGTTGATGAAAGAAGAGTTGGAGTCATCAGTTTATCATAAACTGTTAAGCTTTGGTTTTAGTTTACCTCAATGTCTTTTTTGAGTAAAACATCCAAATATGTAATGTGTGAGAATATGTGGTGTCTTTTTTTGAGTTTAATGGGACATAACAAATCAACGTTTGAATGTTTATTGACAAAACGTCATCAATATATCTAAATGTTAAACTGGAGGTCACAGCAAGAGACTTTTTTTACACTATATCGCAAACATGGAAACAAGTGTCGGATTTTGTTTTAAAGTATAATAATGTAAATTGTGAAGATATCAAACATTGATAAATCTCATAAATCTGTAAACAATACGAAACATATACATGTAGATGTATTGACAAATGTGCAATGATGAGTATCAGTATCTATTTACAAAATGATTTTGACGAATATGATGTAATATAGTAGTCGAACGAAACACCCCCATCACAAAAGAGTGCACTTTTTGTTCGGAAAGACTTTCAATGCGTTGCTGAAAAATTGAACTTAAGTGTTCTAATTTTCTAAGAATAATTTATTGAATGCCTGAAAAATAAATGTTTTTTTTTCTGAGTTAAGAATATTTTAAGTACTTAGGTGCAATTTTTATGAAAAAACTTGCACAAGTTTTCTGAATCTAAGCTCAGTTTAATTTGCATTTATCTTACTCTTGACAAATGCTTTCCCAAAGTTTTCTCAATGGGAACAACAAAGTTTATTTTGCCCGTTTTTCTAGGATAAGGTGTAAAAGTGCTAGTAAAATAAGATTTTCTGTATAATATGCAAATCTAAATTAAAAGAGAGAGAGAGAGAGAGAGAGAGAGAGAGAGAGTATACATATAAGATGATGACACAAGATATCAACCATTTCGTTTAAATTTTCGTGTTCGCAAATTCCATTTAGGATACAATGACCTTGTTTGCAAAATTAACACAATCTATCGTTAAGTCAAATGTTTACTGACTTTCTTCATTTACCTGATGAAAAACGAGAACACGGCAGTTTTACCGGTGGACAGAGTATGTTTACTCCTCCATGGCACCTTATCCCACCTCTGTTTTCACTTTTCAGAGCTCCATGTTTGCTCTGCTCATAATTTGTATTGTTTAAATTAGATTTTGGGTATGGTTTCTGTTCGTTTTTTTTTTTCACATGCCATTGATGATACTTTAAATGATCTGTAGATATTTGAAATGTTTTCGCCGTATCTAAATCAACAGAACACTGTTTTCAATACTCAGTTTGTTTTATAATCAGATACTGGTTGGAACAAAATTAGGCCACTTTGCTTTTCCAAAAATTGTCAGCGCACTGAGAATTTTTCAATTACATAGTTTTTGGTGCAATGAATTATGAATTTACTGGCACAGTGCTTTTTGAGTTTGCTGAAATAGCATTTTTTAAACCCTGAAACAAGCAAAATGACATTTTATACATGCTTTACCCTAACCACTCAAAGAGGTTACAAAATCTTTACCCTAGTTATTTTGCGTTACCCTAATCTTGATCAAATTTTTTACCCGTAATTTGGTTTTAACCAGCACAGATCATGCAATTTTTTTTCCAGTAGGTACGTACTTCTGTTTAAAATAATTTAAATAAAGCCATCCATTACATAATGTAAGCCTGTATAATGCGTAAACTGAGTGCAAAATAATCGAAGCGTATTTGCCTGTCGCCATCTTGGACTAGGGTAACGCACTTTACCCTAGTCCGTTTCTACACAGTGCAATAGTTGGTTTGAATTTATAAATTCAAAAATTGGATTTACCATAAAGTTTTTTCAGAAACAAAGAAGATCCACAGCATTTAACCACTCCGTCAGCCATGATAACAATACGGTCTCCAAGAACATCAGCTTCATCCATAAAGTGAGTAGAGAGTACTATAGTTCGATCCTCTTTAAACTTCTGAAGAATATCCCACATTTGGCGCCGTGCCCCAGGATCCATGCCTGATGTAGGTTCATCTAGTATAATTACCTGTATATAATATCAAATTACCATTAAGAATGGTATGCTTGATACATAAGTAAAAGGGCACAAATTACTCAAATTCAAAGTGATATTGATATTCATTTTAAAGGATGAAAAATCTTAATTTAAATGTGACAAGTAAAGAGAGTGTTTTTTTTTTTCATTGTTAAAAAAGTATTAAATATTATTAAAGGAAAGAGTGAAAAGCTCAGGGATTAGATCTCATGCAACTGAGAAAAAAAATACTAAATCATCAGATCGATAAAACATTGTCTATAGACGTTGACTCCCGCAAGATTAATAATCAAAAGAAGGCATACTGTATATCATCGTACATTTTTTTAAGTTGTGATTTTCGGAAAAATTCTTGGCAAGGATTTTTTTCTTTCTACTTGTTCAATTATTAATATTTATAAAAGAAAATATTATAAAGTTAACAAGAGGCCCATGGGCCACATCACTCACCTGAGCACAATAGCTAGGCAAAAGCACAAATCAGTTCAGTATTGAAATGATTCCGGGGGGGGGGGGGGCTTGAATTTTAAACTACCTGATGATGCTTCCATGTCATTATAACAAATGGCTTTATTGTACTTGAGAAGATTTTTAAAAAAAAATTCCCATATATTCCTTTGTAAAAATTTGATCCCCCATTGTGGCTCCTCCCTATCCCAGGGGTCATCATTTGAACAAATTTGAATCTACACTACCTGAGGATGCTTCCATATCAATATGACTAATTATAGCTTTTCTGTTCTTGAGAAGAAATATTTTTTCTATATGTTCTTATGTAAAACTTTTGATCCCGCATTGTGGCCCCACCTTACCCCTGGGGGTCATGATTTGAACAAACTTGAATCTACACTACCTGAGGATGCTTCCATATAAATATGACTCATCATGGCTTTGCTGTTCTTGAGAAGAAGATTTTTAAAGATTTTTCCTATATATTTCTATGTAAAACTTTGATCCTCCATTGTGGCCCCGCCCTACCCCCGAGGGTCATGATTTGAACAAAGTTGAATCTACACTACCTGAGAATGCTTCCACATCAATATGACTTATCATGGCTTTGCTGTTCTTGAGATGAAGATTTTTACAGATTTTTCCTATATATTTCTATGTAAAACTTTGATCCTCCATTGTGGCCCCACCCTACCCCTGGGGGTCATGATTTGAACAAACTTGAATCTACACTACCTGAGGATGCTTCCTATATTAATATGACTCATCAAAGCTTTGCTGTTCTTGAGAAGAAGATTTTTAAAGATTTTTCCTATGTATTTCTATTTTAAAATTTGTTCCCCCATTGTGGCCCCACTCTACCCCTGGGGGTCATGATTTGAACAAACTTGAATCTACACCACCTGAGGATACTTCACTATGAGTCATCTTTCACTAATTCCTAAATTATCTCCCCTTGAAAGAGGACATGGCCCTTCATTTGAACAAACCTGAATCCCCTTCACCTAAGGATACTTTATGGCAAGTTTGGTTGAAATTGGCCCACTGGTTCTTGAGAAGAAGATGAAAATGTGAAAAGTTTACAACAACAACAACGACAACGACGACAACGACAACGACGACAACGACGACAGACAACGGACAAATTTTGATCAGAAAAGCTCACTTGAGCCTTTGGCTCAGGTGAGCTAAAAATGGAATCAAAATCCATATAAATCACTTTTTTCATTTGAAAAGTTACGTTTTACTCCGACCTGAATAGTCTTAAGGCATGGATTGGAGGCTAACTAACGCGGTCAACATGATAAATGCAGAGATATTTTATCACCAACGTTTATTTATTTATTTTTTGGTTTTTATTTACGAAGCAAATGGAAAGTCAACGAGAACACCAGACGTTTATGACTGATATTGATAGAAAATGCAAGTAAAACAAAATTCCTAGTACCTAAATATAAGTATAAATCATTTTCATAGGAAAAATACTATGATACCTTTGAACCTCCAACCAGTGATATGGCTACCGACAACTTCCGTTTTTGTCCGCCTGATAAGTTTCTTGCAAGATCATTTTGTTTTTCTTCAATCTTGAAAATGCGTAGTGTGTTCTTTATATCCTCCTTCATTTTGGCTTTATTGCATCCCTTAAGCTATAACAGAAAGCATAACTTGCACTTCAGTGGTGTATCAATCATGAAACAGAATACAGCTATTTTTCAAGATCGGAATTACAAAAAATTGCTACGGAGTCTTTACTTTAAATGAATTTATTCATGTATCTACAGCAATCCATATTCTTTTAAAAAAAAACTATAACGGGTATTTGATATTACTTTGTAATAAAATTCGAGGTGTTCCTTCACAGTCAGACTGTCAAACAAAATATCATGTTGTGGACACATGCCAAGACTTTCCCGCACACTACTGATGTCATCATTTATGTCATATCCGTTTACCCTCGCAGAACCGGAAGTTGATGGTATAAAACCTTATTAAAAAAATTAAAATAACATACAATTGCAAAATGGGAAAAGAAAATAACAGTCAGATGAAATTTTTTGGCAGTACTCTGACATGGACACATGTAGGTCTCACCGGTTAACATAGACATAGTTGTAGTTTTTCCTGCACCATTATGTCCTAGCAGTGCAGTTATCTGCCCTTGAAAGATATTAAGTGACATATCTTTCACAGCAACAGTTTCTTTAAGACCAGCTGTGTACACCTGTTGATAATTGGGATTTTTATATCTTGAAAACTGCAAGTTATCCACAGTCCTGATATTATGTGATACAAAGTTTTTAAAGTTTTCATTCCATTATGGCTTTTTATAAAACTTTGGATAAATTGGTGAGAATATTCAAAACCTTTGATATACATGTATTTATTATACCTCTACTGATTTTTCCCTATATAACATTAGATCGTTAGATGTGACTTATTCCCTAGAAATCGTTATGAATGGACTAATCCCCGTACGTTAGTCAAGTGAGCTAATCCCTGCTTCGAAAACTAATTCCCGGTTATCCGTAATCCTCTAGATTTTAATTTTACGTTGATATGATATGTGAATGGACTAATCCCCGTATGTTAGTTCAGTAATCCCCGTATGTTAATCCCTGCTTTGAAATTAGGCTGTCTGAATCCTCAAAATTTTACGTTTGTATCGGTATAATAAAACAGTTAAAAGTATATCATTGCAGGAGTTAGCAAGATTCCAGTTCCCCTCGAGCAGGACTATTTCCCTCGGCTTCGCCTCGGGAAATAGTCCTGGCCTTGGGGAACTGGAATCTTGCTAACTCCCTCAATGATATACTTTAACTGTATAATTATAAATATATTGCTAATTAATCATTCCTAATATGCCTCACACAGAACTGACAATAGTTTTACCTTACGTAAATGCCTCATACTTATACCAATTTCGAGACCCGACGGTTCTTTTTCAAAATATTTTGGACTGTGTTCAACATCTTGATGTGAGGTCGTACGAATCTGCTTGCCACCGAACCAGTATGTCTTCTGTATAGGAGATAAATAATTGATTCAATGTATTTTTCTATTTTCTTTGATTGTTAAAAAAATTAATTATTTAACTTTATGAGAAACTTGTCAATATATAATACAATATTCATTGTAAAATTCACACTTAGTAGTTTTTTAACGTTTTTATTCAATTATGTTACATAAAAAAATGAATAAATTATAAGGACACTGCAAGAAATAAATTTTCATGTCGTTTACTCGACATCAAATAAGGGAAACAATTTTATTCTGCATTATTCAGCTCTATATAGTAGAAAGAGCAACAGTAACAGAGATAATTCATAATCTCCCTCTCTCTCTCTCTCTCTCTCTCTCTCTCTCTCTCTCTCTCTCCACAAAAATGCAATCAAACCGTAAATGGAAAATAAAATGGTTGAGGAACTCCATATTCTCCAGGCCTGACACCATCTATGTACCACGTGATCAAAAGGTAAATTGCACTATCGACCCAGAGCATCAAGATGGTGTCACCAAAGGAAAAATCTCCATCCACTGTTGGTGGTTTGGTGAAAGTATTCCATCTAACCCCCGTTCCTGGAAAATGTTGTATTAGTACCTTGCAATTAGATACATTTTCTTCTATAATGATGTGGTATTTCTTTTTGTAAATTTAATCCAGGATATGCTTTAGAGGTGACATCTTATAATCAATTTGCTACAGTAAAATAAATTTGAGATTTGAAAATTTTATTATTCAAGACATACAAGAACATATACTCTTTAGAAATAGTTAAATGTAAATCAATTTTAATCAATATGTGTCCATGAATGTAAGGGGACATTAATGTAAATCAGGTATTTGTAACATGCTTGAGTATATAAATACCTTTCGTTTCATATTCTGATGCTGATGTAAAACCAAATGCCATAGCCATATTGTTTAACAAGCATATTGCCATCTTTGTGGACTTCGTCATGTCCGAAAACTTTGAATCCAGTGCAAAATTTGGTATAATTGTAACAAAAAAGAAAAATCCGGCAAAATAAGAGGATGTATTTGCTAAAAGAAAATAAAATGAATCGGACATTACTTACGATATAAGCTGAATTAATTTAAGTTACAGTACTAGATTTCTTTGCATAACATCATATCACATAACACTAGAACCCTGACACTGGGGTTATGAATTTCACAATATAAGCACAAGCACTCTTGTTCATCATAATCGTGCACTTATTTTCCTTCTAACCACACAGGAGGAGAAAAGAGAAGTTTTTAAGACTTTATGCATTTACACTATATGTTCAAGATATCCCCGCTCTAACACTAGAACCCCGGACCCAGGGGCCATGGATTTCACAATTTAGGCAATGGTACATTTGCTCAGAATAACCATACACTTAATTTGTCTGGAAAATATACACATTGGGAGACGATTTTAAAGACTGTGCATTTTTTATTAAACCCCTCCCTGGGGCCATGGATCTTACCCCTCTCCTTCCCCTAAAAAAAAATTTGGGTCTTTTTATAACGGAAACCGTTTGATTTATGTCCCTTTGTAAAAAACACGACTACTAAACCCTATTGCATTTTGAAAGCACATAGGTACTTAAATGTTCAGGCCACAACTATAACTCATTATGGAAATACAAGTTGATTAAGCAATGCTCCGAAAAAGTCAGTTGGACAAAGCATACCATATTCTTCCCCTTGCATTACTCCTCAAAGATACTCAAATTGATAAATATGCATTTGAAAGCCAAAACTCTGTTGCTAAAAATAGTAATATTCATCATACATGTAATATATTATTATTTTCTCTGTATTTTAATGTGCGAACAATAAAAATTAAATTGCTTTTTGATTGTGAACTTCCTTCCTGATATTCAAGGAAGTATCCTAGTCTAATTAAAACTAGCCCTTAGGTGTTATTATTTGTTAAGCCATGCGTCCTCGCGGCTTAACATATAATAAAACGTAGGGGCTAACTTTAATTAGACTAGGGAATATCAAGTCCTCGCACCGAAACAAATCTTCCACACATTTTTCATATGGAGTTCAAAGTGATGCTATTTTGAAAAACATAATTCAAAGAAAATGTTTTCTAGGAATATTAAATAATCAGCTTGTTAAAATATCATTTTTAGCAAATCACCTTTGTTAAAAAATGTGCTGAACAAAAAACAGTATGACACTACGGATACTGCATAGGACAAGTAGAAAAAGAAAAGCAAAGAGGAATCAGAAAATTCAAACATCTTGTTGGGCCCGGCTTGCAAGATAAGAACGACGATAGCAAAGGTGATGATCAGATATATAAATCCTTTAAAAAACCAGGAGAACCAGTAAACAAAGGAACTCAGTCCCATCATCCTCATCGTTTCCTGTAAAAACAGAATAAAATGAATTTCATTTTTTGGCTTCATTTCAATGTCCTTCTAGTATATTTTCTTCATTAAGTGCTCATTTTTAAAAAATGTAAACTTTATATATATATATATATATATATATATATATATATATATATATATATATATATATATATATATATATATATATATAATTACGAAAACCATGACCAAACTTAAGGAAGCTCTAAACACTGCACACTAAAGAGTTCTACTTGTAGGGTAGTTTTATGCAGTTAGAGTGAACTGTCCTTAGACGTAACATAAAAAAAATGGTTATTTACAGTTTATTACACAGTTTGTAATAGATTAAAATATTCTTAGCCTTATATTAGACCAAGAATAAGTAATTGCATTCATTATTTCCATTAATTTTCCCAATGTAAGCTAGTAAACTGCAGTTATTTCTGTTCACGAATAGTCCATTGTCTTTGAACATTTTTCTTGTGGAAATAAGGCATGTACCCTATGTTGAAAATGAACTAAATAGTCTAAATATCCATATCTTGATATGATATATTTTTCTCTAAGTCCAAAAAGCACTTTTTGTTAGTGTTTAGAGCTTCCTTAAGCTTATTTTGGTTAAAACTGTATGGGAAGATATGTAGAATCATCATTGTCAAATATCTTTACGACCTTGTGACACAGTAACCATAAAGGAAATTTTGAAGTAATTTTAGTACAGTAATCTCAAGACAACATAGCAGTGGTCTAAACCATTGGTTTTGTGCTATGATTTGAGTTTATCGTATCCATTTCTTTCTTCACAGTGAATTTGAAGAACGGCTGTGACTACATGTGCCATATAAAATGTAAAGACAAAACGGATAATTACTTATATATATACATATTTCTTTCTCACTTTAAGTTTCTTCTCTCGGTCATAGACTATTTCCTTCGTCAGTTGCAGTGCAGGTAGAATAAGTCCAATTACGGTGGTGATAGCAATAGAGAGTCTTATGAAATTTGCCGCAGGGTTTCTTACGTATGGAGGATAAGGCATTCGTTGTAATTTTATGTCTGGTAGACTGACAGAGGAATTGAAATATTCCATGATAGCAGTATCTAGACAATATTTTATGAAAAGAAAGCCCACTTTGTAGTCTGAAAAAAAAAGATACATCAGAGTATTAGATAATATTTATGTAAATATAACTGTATTGAGTAGAATATTTTTAATTGAGGATACTTGTGAAAAAAGTCGGTATCCTTTGTTAAGGTAAACTGAGACATAAGAGGTGCAATGAGTAATCGGGGGTTTGAGTTCTTTTCGTGAATCCCTTGGTCAGATGTACCAAATTTGTAAAAAAAAAAAAAAAAAAAAAAAAAGCAACTAAATTTAAAAACATCTTTCCAAAGGAGCATAAGTTGAAGGTACCAACCATGGCTCCGGAGAGCTTTATATGAACTGCTGATATTACAATGTATGTTCAATTGGTAGTATTTCATTGGCTTACCATTGCGCCAGTCATACGCCGGTCCAGGATTAAAGGATTTGTCCGCGTACTGATCCTCTGTGTCCCATTGTCCTCTCATACGTATAGTGTATGTAATGTCCTCTGGGAGGTCCGATACGTACGACGGGGGCGGATCAAATACAATTCCCGTATCCCAGTAGTCGGTGTTGTCCTTGTTAGACTGTTGTAGATAATTCATAAGATCTTCTTCGTTTGCAAATCCTGAAAGCAAATACACATTATGAACATTAGAATCATAAACCAAGAATCAAGAATACTCTGTTAGATTAATCTATGATCATGGTACTCAGTATATCATAACATTTGAAAATATTTCATGAAGCATACTGAATATTATCGATTATGAGTAAACAAATTAAGTATAATTTTATAAATGTTATATTGGATTGTTACTTATTTTCTTTTTTTTCAATTGTTCATGTTGAATGTCATGAGCATTCCTATTACCTTTAAGGGAAAAAGACGCATATTTGTATTTTTCTGAAATATAAACAAATATGACATATTACAAACTAAGCATTTGGTACTGTTTAATTAAGCAGAGGTCTTTTGCTCAAGATAAAAAAGAGAGACATTGTTTGGCAAATGCTGTGATTTCAGATGTTGAAAATTTTGAAAACAATTTGTTTTTGATTGATATTATTTATCGTTACCGATTTTTCAATATATAGCATGTCTGGTCCTAAAGATCCGTATTAAGGGTCAGGCTGAACTTTTGTACTCAAGGTAACAATAGTCATACTCTCTTTGCATACTTCTTTTTTAAAAAAAAATTGTTACATAATACTATCTTAATTTTTTAAAGTGATTTTGACAATATTGAAGCTTTTGGATATTTGCTATGTGTATACTGATTGATCAGTTGAAACAGATGGTTAGAAAATAAAACAAAACTTAAATAAAAAAGGAAATTATTCAAAATAAACGCGAATTAGGCGGTTCTAACAACTCTGGGGACTCGCATTACAAAATACTGTGTGATTTGGGGATTCTCAAGATATAATGGACATGCCTATTACACTGTACATAAAAATCACGAAAATGAATTACCTTTCACAACTTTTTTCGTGTTGTTCATGAGGCCTTCTATCACCGTGGTATTGGGGACGTATAGAACCTTGTCCATATAAACACTATAGATGCTTTCTTCGTTGAACGTTGTGGCGTTCATGGTCTCTGGTTTATAGTCCGCAATATTTCTGATAATTATCAGAAATACCGGGAAAACCAGTGGAAGTATAATTTCAAAGACCGTCACACATATCTTACGTCTCTGTAGCAGAATATTTTTCCATGTTAATAAGAAAAACTGAGAAAACAGCCCTGCCGCCATTGTGAAAATTAGTTTCTTTCTGCTTTGTACACCATGAATCCGGACGTTCCTTAGAATAGATATTTATTTAACATTTTAATTATTTCCTTTGTATTTTGTTCTACAGCAAAATTGAAACTTCAAAAACATCTTTGAAAGTTCTTGATTAAATGATTAAATCAATAGTTAATTAATTAAAAACAGTACAGAAATGTATGAAATGTAAAGATAACGAAGAGAAATTATTGTCAAAAGTCCATTTAAACAATACAAATTAGAGCAGCGGAAACGCTATCTATGATCGTTCTTGACATGAGCAGAGTTCATCATTTAAACTTGTACTTCTTTAATATTTCCATGACCACTATTTCCCCCTTCCTGGTGTGTAGTTTATTTGTACTTATATTCATGTATTTATACATACCCTATCTTCCCTGAAATATTCTTTAGCAAAGCAAAACCTTTTGTAAAATGTATTGTTACACGTTCTATGATAATCGTTCCAGAGAAGATGGACGAACAGAGCATGCAAAATTCCTATAGTTTCAAATATATTAAAGGCAAATTTGGTTTGTAAACTAAGTATTAAGAGGAGAGTTCTAATTATTGAAAACCGTTCCTGCAGAAAAATGTTCTAAAAAATTACTATACTTTTTTTGGAGACGGGGGGGGGGGGGGGGGAATTCAAGCGTAAGTATCCTGTAAGAATCATTTTTCCACTACATCACACAGCTTATAACTGGTTACGTCATTGAAATCTCGTTTATTATATGACCCTTGAATAACCTTTTTTGTTATGAAAGTTTTTTTTAAAGATCGTGTTGTTTCTTGCTCAGTTTTTAGGCAAAAAATGTACATTTTTTTAACATAAATTGACGATATACTTTCAAATATGGAGCAAATATGAACACACCCATATAGAAAATATGTGTTATAGTATGAAGAAATGATCATTTTAGCCCTTATTGATGTGCGCATGCTTTTTATAGAAGAATGATTTTTAACATTTGTGTGCCAATTTTGGAGATTTTACAAAAGGTATATGTATATATAAATGTAAATTTGAATACCAAGGAAATTTGTGCTATAATTGAAAGTTTATTTTCATTTTCTTATTTGTCGACCCATAGGCAATTTTTTCGGCTTGCTCGCCCATCTCTTTGTCTTTAACTCTTACTGTCCAAAATTAACTTTAAAAATGGACCCAATTGTTATAGAACACGCAGGAAAAAAATGAACACTTTTTAGCATTTGATAATTTTTTTTTCAAATTGCACTGGGGAAAACTCTATATCATATTTATGAATTTTAGTTTCAATTTAACAGTTTATTTCCAGAAAAGGAAAGGGGGTGGTAAGCAGGAAAAAATAATAATAAACTAGATGTGATCTCGTGGCAAGCATTGAGAGGTCCAGGATCGTGTCGTGTATCAGTCAATTGAAGAAACTACTAAACATGATAATAATATGCATCTTAATTTCTTCAAAATATATCGTCACACATAATCTCACGTCTCTGTTGCAGAATATTTTTCCATGTTAATAAGAAAAACTGAGAAAACAGCCCTGCCGCCATTGTGAAAATTAGTTTCTTTCTGCTTTGTACAACCTGAATCCGGACACTCCTTGAAATAAATATTTATTTAACTTTTTGTGTATTTCCTTAGTATTTTGTTCTACCACAAAATAGATGCTTCATAAATATCTTTGAAAGTTCTTAATTAAATGATTAAATCTATGATTAATTAAAAACAGTGCAAAATGTATGAAATGTGAAAATAAGGAACAGAAATTACTAGTATTGTCAAAAGTCGAATCGAACAATACGAACTGAGAGCAGCGCAAACGCTGTCTATGATCGTTCTTGATATGAACAGATTTCATTATTTAAATTTGTACATGAACTTTTTGTATATTTCAATGACCACTTTTTCCCTCTTCCTGGTTTGTAGTTTAATTGGACTTTTATTCATGTATTCATGCGTACCCTATCTTCCCTGAATTTTTTTTAGCAAAACAAAACCATTTGTAAAATGTATTGTTACACGTACTATTGTTCCAAAGAAGATGGACGAACAAGGCATGCAAAATGCCTATAGTTTGAAATGTATTAAAGGCAAATTCAGTTTGTGAGCTAAAATATAAGTGAAAGATACCACAGTCGCTGACACATCTGTGTCATATTTGAACATTTACTAGATAAAGACAATAATGGTAACCTTACAACAAAACTTTATGATAAATATGATGACTTCAACTTTTCTAGCGTCAACTTTCCTCACTTATCCAGCAATAAGCCCTTATCAACTGCATATGGGGTGTATATATCCCAGTTGATTCGATACACAAGAGTATGCTCCACGTACGAACAATTTCTAAAACGGGGTAATCTACTAACGAACAGGTTGATGAAACAAGAATATCAACAATCGAGATTAAAGTCATCATTTCGCAAGTTCTATGGTCGAAATAATGACCTTGTCAGCAAATACAATCTCTCATTACGTCGAACGCTGACCGAAGCATTTCATACTAATTTTTAGCCATTATTTAAACACTGAATTGTCTACGGGTTTTTCCGTTTGCACGATCATGACTATGAACACACGGCGGGTGTGACCGGTCGACAGGGAATGTTTGCTCCTCCATAGCACCTGATCCTACATCTGATGTTTTCAGAGGTCCGTGTTTGCTCTGCTCCCGATTTGTATTGTTTCAATGGACTTTTGAGCTGCTTGAATACTGTTCGTTACAGCAATATTTCTTTTTAACATTTGTTTTTTTTTTTTTTTTCAAATTGCATGGGAAAAGCTCGTTTCAATTTCATGAACTTTAATTTTTATTTTTATGTCACTTTTAACAGTATATTTTTCCAAAAAAAGAAAGGGATTGGTCAGCAGGCAAAAATAATGATGAATAACTTTAAAGAAAAGAACAAGAAATAAACAAAAAAGAAGAAGAAAACAAATTGTATACAACCCAAAAAAAGAAAACAAGGGATATTATATCTACTTCAAATATGTGTTTTCTGGAATATGCAGAGAAATATAAATAAAAATATCAGTTTTAAGAAAAAATCATTATTTCTCTATCTCTTGACATTTAAACCGTTTTATGTTTCGATGTATAAATGCGTCAATTATAATCACAACTCCAAATAGCAGGGTCTCGATGTCAAAAGAAACATTAACACTAGTTACTTCCATTCATATGTTGACTCGTTAAATCCCACTGAACTTGGAATTAAAGACACCTCAGAGTCTGCTACAACCATTTCTTCACCTTTTTTATTTCATGTTTCTGTGTTTAACTGACTATAGATGGTGGTGGCCAACTAACAACTACACTCTATGACAAACGAGATGACTTTTCCGTCGTCAATTTTCCTTGTTTATGTAGTAAATAAATATTCCAAAATCACCTACATATTGCATTTATTTCTACCAACTTATTCCAAACTATGAATGCTTTGAGTACAATGAATTCTTAAACTGATACAGGCTACTGACAAATAAGTTGATGTTACAGGATTTAAAGTCAGCATTTCGTAAATTAATTCCATGGTCGTTATAATGTCCCTGTTAGCAAATATATCCTATCACTGAGTCGTTTTTGACTGTCATACCAATACCATATACCTGGTATACCACGGGTTTGCGTGTTGTATGCCCTGTTTACAGATTTATATTGTTTGTAGTTTTTCTTTGATCGACCATTGTTCGTAACCTTCATCATTTTTTTGTAAAGTTGTAGTCAGAATTTGACTTTTGACATAACGTAGTGGACAACTGAAATTTCCGACAGAGTAAACGGTTAACGGTTAACCGAACCTTGTTCGTAATTTCCTTATGAAGTTTTGTGTTTTTCTTTTGATTTTTAATAAATTTATTTCCATCTTAAATTTAAAGTTAAGGAAATTGTGCAAATATCAAATGAACCTTTTCGAATGGATGGTGTACCCCTCCCCAACTTCTGTTTATTTTTATTAGACACAAAAACTTACCAAAAATACATGAATTCCTAGCCTGTGTTCCGATATTTGATATAATTTTTCGCTTTTGTTAAGTTTTAGAGATTGGCCCTTTGTGGAAGATAAAAGCAAGAGTAAAGAGAAAATGGCTGAAGACTATGGTAAACAGAAAACAGGTTTTTTATGTATGTGGTAACGGAAGGAGGTACATGCAAAATAAGTCGCGGAAATCAAAAGCATGGCCTTAGGAACGGGGGGGGGGGGCACGGGGGCGCCGGCCGTATCCCCCCCCCCCCAATAATTTTGCAGATATATAGATTACTATAGTAAACATAGATACTATATGCTGGCGCCCCCTCAATAAAAAGTCTGATGACCCTTTTTTTCCTTTTTTTTTCTTTGCTTGTCAGGAAATTTTTGGTAGCGCCCCCTCAACTCTCAACTGAAAATGTATGGCTGTGCATCCCTCCCAACTAAATTTGCTCCCTACGGGCCTGAAAAGTATAATCGCGGAAAAGCAGTATACATGTAACTTGTCGCGGAAAGGCAAGATTTTTTCGCAGAAAAGCTGTGTAGAGTCGCGAAAAAGTGAAACTGGAAAACATTTCTGTGTAGAAAAATTAGGGGTTTTTTTTTGACGAAACAAAACGTGGTAATTTTTTTTAAACAGGGAAATGTAATTAATTAGTATTAAGACTATAAATTAGGGAGATTTGTTGTCACGTGCCTTGCGAATCATTTAATTGGTCGATTTAAACCTTTTCAGATATAAACACACTTCCTTACATTAACTATATATAATAATTAACTATATATATATATATATATATATATATATATATATATATATATATATATATATATATATATATATGTGCCTTATATATATATATATATATATATATATATATATATATATATATATATATATATATATATATATATATATATATATATATATATATATATATATATATATATATAAGGCACATGAATTTACAACAACTCTTAAACTAACATTACTGCCCTCAGTGAAGAAATATTAAAATAAA